TCTACCTTGAGTTGGTTATACCGAGGTTCGAACTCGACCTTGAGTTGATAATACCAAGGTTCAAACTCGACCTTGAGTTGATAATACCAAGGTTCAAACTCGACCTTGAGTTGATAATACCAAGGTTCGAACTCGACCTTGAGTTGATAATACCAAGGTTCGAACTCGACCTTGAGTTGATAATACCAAGGTTCAAACTCGACCTTGAGTTGATAATACCAAGGTTCGAACTCGACCTTGAGTTGATAATACCAAGGTTCGAACTCGACCTTGAGTTGATAATACCAAGGTTCAAACTCGACCTTGAGTTGATAATACCAAGGTTCAAACTCGACCTTGAGTTGATAATACCAAGGTTCGAACTCGACCTTGAGTTGATAATACCAAGGTTCGAACTCGACCTTGAGTTGATTGTACCGAGGTTCGAACTCGACCTTGAATTGTGTGTGATATGAATAATATCAAGGTTCAGACTCGACCTTGGATTTAAGCGAAACGTATTCAAGGTTCGTACTCGACCTTGATTAAGAGCGAGATAAGTCAGACCAAGGTTCGAATTCGACCTCGGCGTAAAGTAAAATAAGTTGTGCCAAGGTTCAAACTCGACCTCGGCTTAGCATAAGATATTTTATGGTAAAACAATGCTAAATTAAGAAGATATGAGCATCTTTTGGGCATACCATTGCACCCCCTAGTCAACAACGCAAGAAACGCCTTACAGGCTGACTTATGGAGCTGACGCAATGATCCTAATGGAAATCGGAGAGACATCTCACCGACGCCAGGTCTTCAACAGCGAGCAGAACGCCCAAGAGATGGCAACCGACCTCGACCTGATTGACGAGCTCAGAGATGAAGCTCGGATTCATGAAAAAGCTTGTAAAATCCGAGCTTCCAGAAGATATAACACGCGAGTGCGACCTCGCTCTTTCCGAGTAGGAAACCTAGTATGGCAACTATTATATTAAAAGCTTTTTTCAGTCTCCGATATGAGTGATTAGGTTTGAGAAATTTTCGATGCCTAGTGTAAACAGTTTTCTTTCCATGCTTTAGTTGTAGGTAGCTTGTCTGTTGTTGACAGATATGGCATGCGTGATGTCCTTTAACACTATATCTACTCAAGTTCCCATATGCTGGAAAAACATTAATAAACAAAATATCATTGAACGCAACTTGAAACTTTGTTGATGATACCCATCAAACACATCAACCCCTTCTTCCCACAAAATTCTCAAGTCCTCAATCAAGGGACTTAGGTAAACATCTATGTCATTTCCTGGTTGTCTTGGGCCTGCAATCATCATACACAATATCACATATTTTCTCCTCATGCACAACCAAGGAGGCAAATTGTAAATTGAAAGGAGAACAGGCCATGAACTATGGTTGGTGCTTAAGTTACCAAACGGATTCATTCCATCTAAAGCAAGTCCGAGCCTAAGGTTTCTTGCCTCACTACCAAAATCTGGAAATAACCCATCAATTTTTTTCCATTGTGGAGAATCAGCCGGATGCCGAAGCATGCCATCACAATTTCTATTGTCTGCATGCCATGTAAGGTTCATTGCATCAGTTGCATTAGCAAACAATCGCTTAAACCTTGGAATGATTGGAAGATACCATAACACCTTTGTTGGGCCCCCCTTTTCATATACATCTTCATCACTACTACCACCACCATCCTTCACTTTGTACTGTGATAACCCACAACGAG